GGTTACAATAACAATTGTGTGGTGAATCTGGTTGAAACAGAGCATTTAATCTCCTGATACAAGGCATGTTTTCTTGGGGTTGTAGCAAAGTAGCAAAGGTCTTTCATGAATTCTAAGACAGCCCAATTGCTGATGTTGCCAATTGCATTGAACCAAAGCTATTAGACGGGGTACAATTACACCTTTTTCCAAGATATTTATTATATACTATAAGACACAACTGACAAATGAAGTATTTCAGAAAAATATTTACCCTAAAATTATCAGTGACTTGTTGCCATGACTAAAATTATCAAATTTCATAAATCATGAACTAATGTAACTGCAAATGTAAACAAATAGGTGAACACACACCCAGTACAGACTGTTATTTGCCTTTAGACTCCTAAGTCTGGTTTTTGCTTACATTTATATATCAGATTCCTAATAAATTTGTTACTTTATATATGTCCTTCAGGACTTCAAGATCATTGGATATTATTTCTCATGATTGGTACCCCCGCATTTACCCCCTTCTTCCAGATTTACCCCCTTCTTCCAGACAATGAGAAATAAACATCCCAAATTTAAATATGAAATTAACTCACACACAAAGGTTTCAAGATACTGTGTATAATTTCATTCACAACTGTATTTTAAACTACATACATACGGAAACCAACCTGTCACTGTTAAAATATTCTGCTTTGATAACTACATGTTTACACATGAAGAATTTCGTTTCCATAGATGTTCCTTTCACTATACAGGCACAATACTGAGTATGTATCCTTCCATGAAAGTACAATAAAATCCCAAGTGATATTCTTTGGTCAATACGTAAACATTACTTATAATCATTATTAATCAACAATGTTTACTTAATTCTTTATAAAACGTCGCACACAAGCAACTGCATGGATACAAAATAGACAGTTTATTTTATAATAAAAGACAGATATCACTCGACCAGTTTTATCTCAGTTTGATCGTTGATCTTTGATAAATATTACCGTTCGCTATTCCACCATTTGTTGAAAGAAAGCTCGTAGAATGCATAGTTTTAATATATACCCATTTTAGATCTCACTAGGAAAGTTTTATTTATCGTAAAATAATAAAACTCGAAAACGTCGCGCCTTCACGCTGCCATGTTTGACAAAATCAATCGGTTCCGCTCCCCCCGGATTGAAAACTAAATTATTACGAAATGTCCAATATTTTTGGACACACGTGACCAGTGTTTACCAGGGCCTTTGCTTCCCGTACCAGAGCCTCTGAACCGCGCAAAGGCCCTGGGTACGAGGTTGGGCTTCTGAGAGCAATAAGCGCAGAAGCCCTGGGTACGAGGTTGCTGAACTATATAACATGGAAGTCTGACTCGAGCTAAAAAAGTGAAGCCAACATGGCGGAATTTGAAGGCATTCTTGCGCGTCATTCTCAGTCCCCTTACGTGCGCGGTCAACAAAACTTTTATATTTTTCTTTACTTTCCGAGTAAAAATCTGGCGAAAAACAGACGAAATTTGAATGAAAAGTTGAATTCTGGTATTTTGTTTGGGTTCGGTTATAAATTTTAATTATTATTTGTTTAGGAGATGTGATATTTGAGTGGAAAGAAAGCAAAATAGCGCGGGATTGCTGTTTTTGTAAAATGACAAGGAGTGACAAAACAAAACACAAAGTCACTCAATCTTTCAAAATATCTCTATTGCCCCTATCGACAAGAGTTTCACACACATGAATAACTCATTAAAATGAACAGTTTAAGTTTATAAGGCAAACATCAAAGTGATTTTATTAAATAGAAAATAAAAAAACAAAATTTTCTTACATGTATGGAATTAAATTGGCTAAAAACTGCCTCGAAAACTGCAGTTAAAAAGCAGTTTTAGGTCAGGAAAACCGACTAAAATAAGCTAAATAATGGTGTGAAAACTGAAAAGCACCATAGAAACAAGAAAACGAAACAACCAAAGCAAAAATAAATTGCCAATTTATAAAAATACAGATTTTATATAAAAAAAACAAAAAAAAGTTTGAAATTAGTTGTTGAATTCGCAACGAAAAATACAGATTTACTCACACATACAGTGGGAAAATGCAGTAGACAGATCGATTAGATGAAGGAAATCAGGTTTACATGAAATAAATAAAGTTTATTTCCTTTTTTGCTCTTCTAAAATGAAGAAAAACACAACCCGAGAGTCGCGGACCCATCACTTCCCGCCATGAAAATAGTTCAAAATACAAAAATTGTTTGGCCGCGCGGGTAAGGGGACTGAGAATGACGCGCAAGAATGGCTTCAAAATCCGCCATCTTTGGCTTCACTTTTTGATTACGTCAATGACTGAAGTCAGTTTTCCATGTATATAGTTCACTGGGAAATTTTCACTCCCAAAAGGAATTTTCAAGGATGGAAAAAAAATAAGGAAATTCAAGGAAATCTAAAGAAATATGATAAATAGCAATATATAAAAGTAAAAAACAATTAAAAGTTAAAGTCTTGTTTTAAAACTGTTAATTGCAGGGTATTTTGTGTAATGATAGTTTAATATCAGAACATTTAACATCATTACATAACATTAACTACATGAAGTATCTAAAGTTTCGCGACAACTGACAACTGGAGACTGGAACGCGGTACCTATAAAAATATAATATATTTATGCTTAGCATAAACACAGAGTAGAGACATACAGAGACGTAACTAGTGTACCCACTTTCTTTGTGCGCATGCTCGGCAAGTTACTAGATGCATGCATCTGATTGGATGACTACCTGATGACGACTCACTTTAAACTTGCTGAGCACGCGCAGTTGATCATTTTTCGCCCGGTCGCCTCAAAAAAAAGTGGGTACATGATAACGTAATCTTCCGCAGTGTTTACGACGGTCAGTTACGTCTCTGTATGTCTTATCCATAGATATAGGAGATCTAGATTGCTAACGCATACCTAGCGCAGGCGGGCCCTACATGATAAATCCAAGATGGCGGTACAAGAGGGCAAAAAGACTATAGATTCTATTACGAAAATCAAGATTTTCGCATTTTTTGCCGTCGCATTGTTTTGAAACTTATTCGGTCAAATTTTATGGTAAAGAGAAACGTACCGCGAAGATTTTGAGCATATATATGATTGAATTGGATGAAAACTCGCAAAATTATCCAGCGATAAAAGTTCGTGTATAGTACTGATATAGTACTATAAATGTAACTTGTACAGTTTTGCTTTAATTTTTGCTCACTATTTGCATAGAAAGCAAATTATAACAGACCATAGATGATAGACCCTTATCCAGTGCTCTCATCAGTTTACTTCTCTAACAAGCAAGGAGGGGGGTGGGGGTACATAACAGTTCATTTTTCATAATTATGAGGACAGAGCAGATGATGATGAAAGATGCAAGTATAAAACACCATTCACAAGACTAGATGTTAACATAGCACAGTATTTGTGTGATGTTACTCTGAGTGTATATCCACACCGGGCAGGCTTGAAAAATATGCCTGGCCACGGCGGAATTCGAACCTACGACCTTTGGAATACTAGCCCAATGCTCTTCCAATATCCGGTGTGGATATACACTCAGAGTAACATCACACAAACATCTTATTCACCTGAGTACATTACACCAACACAGCAGATTTCATAAATATTAGATTACACTGATATCGAAGGAACTAGACTCAGTTCCGAAATATCGCTTACTCAAACCGTCCTGACCGCGTAGCTCAGTTGGAAGAGCATTGGGCTAGTATTCCAAAGGTCGTAGGTTCGAATCCCGCCGTGGCCAGGCATATTTTTCAAGCCTGCCCGGTGTGGATATACACTCAGAGTAACATCACACAAACATCTTATTCACCTGAGTACATTACACCAACACAGCAGATTTGATAAATATTAGATTACACTGATATCGAAGGAACTAGACTCAGTTCCGAAATATCGCTTACTCGAACCGTCCTGACCGCGTAGCTCAGTTGGAAGAGCATTGGGCTAGTATTCCAAAGGTCGTAGGTTCGAATTCCGCCGTGGCCAGGCATATTTTTCAAGCCTGCCCGGTGTGGATATACACTCAGAGTAACATCACACAAACATCTTATTCACCTGAGTACATTACACCAACACAGCAGATTTCATAGCACAGTATTTCTGGCAATAAAACGCTCCAACTGACCAACTGACCATTTCACACGAACTTTTATCGCTGGATAATTTTGCGAGTTTTCATTCAATTCAATCATATATATGCTCAAAATCTTCGCGGTACGTTTCTCTTTACCATAAAATTTGAACGAATAAGTTTCAAAACAATGCGACGGCAAAAAATGCAAAAATATTGATTTTCGTAATAGAATCTATAGTCTTTTTGCCCTCTTGTACCGCCATCTTGGATTTATCATGTAGGCCCCGCCTGCGCTAGGTATGCGTTAGCAATCTAGATCTCCTATATCTATGGTCTTATCTACTCTATGGCATAAATATGCTATGATGAAAATCTAATTATCTAAATCATGAAATCAACATGGCATACTAATGCACATGGCACTTGTCTTTGCACAATTTAACTGCACATTAGTTGGTTTAATTTATCACTTTACTGCCTTTTTTGTTTGGGACCTATTGATAAATTAACACACATTATTATGTAAACAACTGAACTAACTGAGAATGTTATTGTTGTTCCACATGTTATTGTTGTTTAATAATTGAGCAGATAGGGAAATATTCTGTACATTGCCATTATGCAGCTCATATTTTTTGTCACAACTGTTGACGAATTTACAGTATGCGGTAGTTTAGTATTTGACTGTGAGAGATACAACGACCTGAAAAATAGAAGTAGAACTTCGATGTTTCGAACCAAACTAACTTCACAACGAAGGACCGCTTCCCTCGAAACATCGAAATTCTGGTTGTATTTGTCAGGTAGTTGTATCCCTCTCTATCCCCAGCTATCCTGCATCTTATAACACTCACCAGAGCCCAACAAGAGAATCAAAATATGAAGAAACAACTCAACAGAATAGCAATATGAATTATAGTGAAATTAGATTTTTTGAAAGTATACTATACATAATGAAAATCAGAATATTTCTAAAATATATTTAAAAATAACTTCTAATACAATTATATACCTAATCCAAACTATAACATAACATGCAAATTGTCAAGTTCAATAGTTCGTCATATAACAATCATAGTTCTTATTTTTGACATTCATTTATGAATTTCCATAGATTAGTCTTAATATCTGTACTAGTGTTGCAGCTTTTTATACAACTAACTATTAGTGAGGATCGAGATCAATTTTGACACTAAGATTATTAAAATTTGTCTAGGAGAATAAATGTTATGGTGTTTAAAATAAGGGGTAAACCTATTAATACAAGTCATGCATGATTTCAATGGTCCATTGGCTGACCCTGACTTTATTTTAAAACTGCAACAGATTATTGACTCTACGAGACCACTTGTTTAATAATCTTAGGATCAAAATTCATCTCTTAGATTCAATGTTCCATGCCTACTCGGACTTTCACTAAACACTATCGTGCAGCAGATGGTGGTCAACCTGCAGTTATCAGAGTGAGGAAATAATTTGAGTTGAGATTCGTATGAGATTTTGAAAATTATATTGATGTCATGCAAATCTACATACAAGTTATCTTGAGTTTTATTAAACATTTATATACCATACTTCCTACAGTCTATGTTACTATATATACACTATATTTACATTTCACAATATTTTGTTAAGTTATAAAAGGCAAACATTACAATATTAAGTTTTCTGTTCATATGATTCAGTAAAACCTCGAAAATGTTGATGTAAAATGTATGTTGTAAAGTATACCCTTAAAACTACAAGTTGCGAGGTTTCACTACAGCACTACAGCAGTTGCGAAAGATCTTTTCTCTTTCATTACTGACAGTTCTTTCCATCGTCTCCCATTGCGAAACTTTCTACTGAGTTGAGAAGTCCCTCCTCGTCTAACCTAATTTAGAATAGGGCCTGACCAGCCTAGACCTAGGCCTTCTAGTCTTATTTATATTTTTTTAATATTGAGCGCTTTTTCACATGAAAAGACTGGGACTAGGTGATTTGGGGGCGGGGCGGAGGAAGCAAGCCTAGAAGCAATCTCGTTCCCCGAGCATACCCGTTCGCAGGTTAAGGGTGGGCATAGCTCTGGAGAAATCGAATTGATTCACGTTGAATTTCCAACGTGAGTTCTACGCATGCTCGGCAATGTTGCAAATATAAATAAAGTATTTAGAATTTCGCGTCGAAATTTGATACATTTTACACTGAACTCGAATTGAAAACAACTAAAAATTCTGGGAGAAATATGTACGAAAGCTTCGGTGGGATAGGGATACAGCTACCTGAAAAATACAAGGAGAACTTAGACGTTTCGAGCGAAGCTTCGGTATGTACTGTTAGTGTTTGTATATGTAACGAGCCGAGCTAACACAACACACAACGTGGTCTAGATCCAACTTAACTTTATTCATTTTCCGATTCCATATTTATATTCTCTATCTCTAGGGTGTTACCTTCCTTTAATTATTTAGAGAGCTATTTTTACTATATCACGGACGCAGCTTGCTAGTGGAGCATCCGCGGCTAATTATGACTTACTAATCTTATTTACATATTTACACATTATTATATCCATTATCAGATATCCGTTACACTATCCTCCTCCTTTATGTTCTCGTCCCGAGGGCATATTTCTAGTCAAATCCGTATCTCAATGGTGGATTAATATGTTGTCTTAGTCTGGCAGGTCGAGCACGAGGAATACCGTCAATACCGACATGTGGAGGTGTAACATCAACCACCTGGAACTCACCTACTTCCCTACTAGGGCAAACCGGTTCGCCCTCTTGAAAAGGGATATAACTGCGTTTTAACTGGTCGTGATGAACGACCATGACCTTCCCTCCCGTAGAAACTATTCTATAGTCGACCCCAAACCGTTTTAGAATTCTGTAAGGCCCAACCCATTTATTTCCTAACTTCCAGCCTTTTGGTCTTTTCAACATGACTGTTTCACCCGAGTCGAAAGGCCGCCAAGTGTTTGTCGATTGATTGAGCCTTGCCTGCTTTTCGGATGCTTTTGACAAATGTTCCTCTGCTATGCGTCTTATATCATGAAATGCTGACCTTACTGAAACTACATATTCACTCTGTGTGGAAGGATTTGTTAGAGGCATTCCTAATTCCAATTCAACTGGCAGCCTAGGTAATTGACCAAAAACTACCTCATATGGTGAAATGCCTAATGCGTCATGTCTGCTGGTATTGTAAGCAAATGTAACTGAATCCAGCCACAAGTCCCAGTCATCTCTTCTATTTGAAACAAAAGCTGAAAGCATAGCCTGAATAGTTCGGTTTTGCCGCTCAGTTTGTCCATCACACTGAGGATGGTAGCTTGTGGTGCGCGTTTTCGTAATACCCATAAAGTTGCAGATTTCGTGTAGTAGTGTGCTTTCAAAGTTTCGGCCTTGATCTGAATGCAGGACTGCTGGGGGTCCAAACCGAGAGAAAATGCGGCTTACTAAAAGTGGCGCAACCGTGCTGGCTTTCTGATCTGGAGTTGCAAATGCTTCACACCATTTGGTGAAATGGTCAACAACCACTAGGATATGTTTGTTCCCACGACCTGTTTCTGGCAATGGTCCCATGTAATCCATTGCCCAGAAAGTAAAAGGTTGGCTAACTGAAATATGACCTAATGGAGCTGTGTTTCTGTTAATTGGGGAGTTCTTTTGATTGCAAACTTTGCACAACTGAATATGTTTGGTTACTGACTTTCGAATGCCAGGCCAATAAAATCGTTTCCTCACTCGTTCCTCGGTACGAGTGATACCTAAATGACCTCCTAGTGGCCCATCATGCAGTGTTTTGAGAATGTTTGCTTGCAAAGCAGAAGGTATTAATATTACATGTTGTGGGTGAGAGCTGTTACTGCTACCAAGCGCTCTATATAATATTTCATCATGAACGAAATATTGGTCGTAGTGCCTAAGCCAACTCTTAAGTGCAGGATCCTGAATTTGTGTCAACTTTGGTTTAGGCGATTTGCGTGTTTTCATGTCAATTATGGATGCGAGATGTGAGTCAGCGCGTTGACTATCTCGAAGATTCATGGTTGGGTTTAATGTAATTGTATTGACCTCTTTTAAGTCCTGGGGGGAGGGAGGAACAGCGCGTCTATTCGGACCAGAAATATTGACTAAACTGCCGTCTGTATCAACTATAAGTGCCTTACTGCTTTCTAACTTAACAATCGCTGTGCGTCCACCAGATAATTTAACACGTATTGTTGAGACAAATACTGGTTGCGAGGCATCCTTTATAATGCTTGTGGTGGAATCTGATGAATTAGCTTGTACAAGACGAGAGAGCGCATCTGCATTATTATGAATGCGGCCAGCACGGTGGGCGACTGAAAAATCAAACTCCTGTAAATCCATAATCCACCGTGCTAAACTACCCTTAGCTTCCATAGTGTGTAGCCAGCGTAAGGCACTATGGTCAGTAATTAATTTGAAATGGCGACCCAACAAATATACGCGAAAATGGGCTGTGCCAAAGACTACGGCAAACGCTTCTTTTTCAGTTGTCGAGTATTTCTGCTCGCGAGGTGAAAGAGCCTTGGACGCATAAGCAATAACTTTCTCATTTCCTAACTCGTCAAGTTGCGACAAAACTGCACCAACGCCATAGTCAGACGCATCTGTTTGCAAAATAAATGCTTGACTGAAATCAGGATATGCGAGGATGGGGGCAGAGCATAATAAATGCTTTAATCGCTGAAACGCTTGTTCGCAAGCATCCGTCCAATTAAATTGCGCCGCTTTTTGCGTCAACTGTAGTAATGGCATTGCAATAGAAGAAAACCCAGGAATAAATTTGCGGTAATAGCCAGCTAGGCCTAAAAAACTGCGAATATCTTTGATATTGCGTGGGCTAGTAATGTTGTTGACAGCTTCAATTTTCGCCGGGTCTGGCATGATACCAGATTCCGTAACCACGTGTCCTAGGAATGCAACTTGTGGCGCTGCAATTGTACATTTCGCAAGTTTCACGCGAAGATTATGTGAGCGCAATCTCTCTAGAACTGTTTTCAGCCTATTATAATGTTCATTAAAATCACGGCCAAACACAATAACATCATCTAAATAGCACAAGCAGATTACGTAGGAAAGGCCACTTAACACAAGATCCATGGCTCTTTGAAACGTAGTTGGCGCGTTAACAAGGCCGAAAGGCATTCGGTTAAATTCAAACAAACCGCGCTGAGTGACAAAAGCAGTTTTATGACGGTCTTTTTCCTCAACAGAAATTTGCCAGTAGGCGCTTTTTAGATCTAATGTGGAAAAATAGTGCGAGTTTCCTAATGAATATAATATATCGTCAACGCGAGGCAAAGGGTGCGCATGGCCAACAGTGACAGAGTTTAGCTTTCTATAGTCCACACAAAAGCGCATTTCGCCATCTTTCTTCTTAACTAAAATGATGGGACTAGACCAAGGACTTGTTGACTCACGAATTATGCCTTTCTCTAACATTTCATTGATCTGTCGCTCAGATTCTTCACGGTGGGCAAAAGGAATGCGGCGAGGATGTTGCTTAATTGGCGTGCTATTTCCTGTGTTAATTTCATGTGTCAAGATGCTGGTGTGCCCTAAACTTTCGTCAAAAACATCTGAAAACTCAAGTAGCAAATTTCTTAACTTGCCCCTATCTTCCCCTTGTAATGATGGGTCAATAATAGACTCTATTTTATCTGAAATAACCTGTGGGGTTATTCTATTCCCAACCGCGCCGCAAATGTTGGGTTGAGACAGGCACGATTCAATCAAAGGACAAAAATCTGCTAAATTCTCACCAGCAGTCAATTCGATCGGGCTATTAGACGCGTTGAGAACACGCAAAGGCACAATTCTGTTGTCAGGTTTTACGACAACACGCGCTATACTAAACCCCTGTCTAACAGCATTACTGCTGCTAGAACGTGGCTCTATCATACCTATTCTGCTTTTGGCACGTTTGGCCAATTTCCCCTCTAAAATTATTTCGGTTCGTGGTGGTATCATTACACTCTCCACCAAAGAAACACCGGTGTTTCCTTGGAAGCGGGATTGACACAACAAACGACCGGCTTGCGAATTCACAGGTACAATATGTGGATTCGACTCAACTACTCCCGCTCGATCTGCCGTCGTAGACGATTGCGAGTTAGTGATGGGGGTAGCCCCATGTTTACCAACTAAAATATAGGTACCTAAATTAACATCTTTGCATAAAGACAAATTATTTTGACTGATAAAGTCCCAGCCTAGAACACAATCATATGGTATATTATTACTAACTAAAAATTCTCCGTTAAAGGATGCACGAGATCCTAAAAATTTAACAGTGCTAGATAGATGACCTTGAATATTTACATTGTGTCCCGTAATTGAGACACATTTCTGTTTTATAGTTTTATCTATTGCACGATCGTCAAAATCAATTGTTCTTTGTACAGTTTGATTTACAAAAGACTTCATTGAGCCCGTATCAATGAGCGCACGAACACGGACTTGGTCCACAAAACAATCAACAAACGGGTGAATAATTGTACAATTATCAATGGTATTTGTACTTACGATAGGATGGGCGCGATTTCCACCAACTTTCCGTCCATCCTTTAGAAGTTTAAATGACGCGGTGATCTACACTCTCGCGCGATGTGTCCCTGTTTTCCACAATTATAACAGGTGATCGTCCGCCTTGGACCAAAGCCTCGCTGTCGCGTACAATCTCGAGCAAGGTGACCTGGTAAACCACACGTATAGCAGGATCCAGACGTCGACGGACGAGATGGAGTACGTGCAGTGTTTTCCGTACGTTTCAGGCGGTTCTCTAGCGCTTCTTGTTTTTCCGCGATGCCAGCCACCATGGTAATAAGCTCCTGTAATTTTGGGTCTGCTGGGGAAGACGAGTGAGAAACAGAATCAACTTGCACGGGAGGTATCTCGGCCGCTACTGGTTGACCAAGAGCACGAAATCGTTGAGTGAACTCGACCATTTCATTCAGTGTAGGAGTAGGGTTATGCTCCAGCATCTTCAGCTTCAGCGTCGGTGGTAGACCCCTCGAGAATTGCCTCGTCAACAACGCAGTCTTAGCATCGTTCGAAAGAGTCGAGTCAGCTTTTGAGAGGATATTCTCCAACTCCCATTTATAGACCGACGGATCTTCGTCGGGCCTCAAAGCTCGCAATTCAAACTCCGCGAAGAAGTTTTCGCGTTTTGCAGGTGGGCAGAGTGCTCCTCGCATTGCTTTCACCGCATCCGCGTAAGTCCGCCTCTCGCCCTCAGGAATGGCGTAAAAGTTACTAGCCGCTCGACCACGCAAGAAGGCTGGCAATTTTAAAATTTTGTCGTCGCTAGTCTCGGTTACTTTCCAACCATTTGCAGTACTACAGGCATCAAACTCGCGCAACCAGGCGTCAAAATCGCCATCATCAAATTTTCCCGGGAGTATTGCAGTCGACATTATCAGGGCGCCGTTGCTTGTAGTCTTTTACGCTGCCACCAAATGTAACGAGCCGAGCTAACACAACACACAACGTGGTCTAGATCCAACTTAACTTTATTCATTTTCCGATTCCATATTTATATTCTCTATCTCTAGGGTGTTACCTTCCTTTAATTATTTAGAGAGCTATTTTTACTATATCACGGATGCAGCTTGCTAGTGGAGCATCCGCGGCTAATTATGACTTACTAATCTTATTTACATATTTACACATTATTATATCCATTATCAGATATCCGTTACATATACATCATACTTGACCTTTGCTGATAAATATAATCTCCTCAATAATAAGTATTATATATTTTTATGCTTTAAAATTTACATTTATATAACTCTCCTGTTAGAATTTATGGCATACGTAGTGTTAGGTATGACAGTATATAAAAGGTTAAGTACGATGTATACAAACACTAACAGCACAAGTCGAAGCGCCTTCGCTCGAAACGTCGAAGTTCTCCTTGTATTTTTCAGGTAGTTGTATCCCTATCAATCCGCAGCTTTCGCACATATTTCCTCCAGAATTTCTAGTTGTTTTCAATCGATTTCAGTGTAAAAAGTATCAAATTTTCGACGAGAAATTCCAAATATTTTGTCTATATAGAACTCACGTTGGAAATCCAACGTACTATCTGCCGTTAGCCAATCACAGGCCTGAATCAATTCGATTTCTCCAGAGTTATGCCCACCCTTAACCTGCGAACGGGCATGCTCGGGGAACGAGATTGGCCTAGAAGGCCTAGTGGATTTCCCAACAACAAGGCTAAAACTGCCCTGAAACTGCGCGCCCTGGTTGCGAAATGCCCAATTATTGCGTTCTCGAACAGAATTATTTGCAACTTAACGGCGAATTTAAACCGATACAGGTAAAATAAACTCATTTATAGTATAAACTTTTTTTATTTGTACACACGTCTAGAAAATCGGGGTTTTTATCATAAAGTTCGAAGCAACACCAGTGGCGTAACGTTATAACAGGGGGGCCCCGGTTCAAAATTTTCGAAGGCCCCCAAGTGGAAGTGGCAAAGGCACGAGTTTGAGCGCCGTATATGCACGAGTTTTCTAAGAGGTCCAGGGCATGCTCACGCGGAAAATTTTTGAATCTAGAATCTCTGAAACGCCATTTCCTGGACTTTGGGGAGAGATTTTACACAATTCTGATGGTCAGAAAACGACATTGTAACATATCAGAGGCCTCCCTGGCCAATGTTTATGCTTTACAGCCTAAGTCTTGGGGCCCCCATTTAGCCCAAAGGAGTTGGGGGCCCCCGGGTTCGCCCGGTCTGAACCCATAATAGTTACGCCACTGAGCAACACTATTTAATATTTAATATGTTGACAAGGTGTAGCGAAAGCACAAAATGAGTCAAAATATATACCAAAAGTAGAATCTTTCATGAAATTTTGTCTTGTACACAACTACATTAATATATATTTTCTCAATTTTGGCAAGAAGCAGTCTTGTGTTTGTAAAATATACAAAATAAAACGGATACATATATTATTAGCCCGTACAGTACTGTATATAAAAACGTAAATTGTTTACAAATGGTATATCTGTAATATTTGAACAATAATTTCAAAATCCTCATTCCCAATTCGCAAACATAGTTATTCAAAGCAAAACAGTAGATTGTCTTGCGAATAAAAGAATTATTATTTTGTGCCGTTTCGCTACACCTTGTCAACATATATAAATAGTGTTGCTTCAAACTTTATGATAAAAACCCCGATTTTCTAGACGTGTATATACAAATAAAAATAGTAAGTTTATACTATAAATGAGTTTATTTTACCTGTATCGGTTTAAATTCGCTGTTAAGTTGCAAATAATTCTATTTGAGAACGCAACAATTGGGCATTTCGCAATCAGGGCAGTTTCAGGGCAGTTTTGGCCTTGTTGTTGGGAAATCCACTAGGCCACAGAATAGGAAGTTATACCAGAAGCGTAACTCGAGCAAATATTTGTCCGCGTTTTTACATGAAGCGATTCGTCATCAATCACGCCATCCTGGCTAGTACAACCGGCACTTTGTACCTACCAAATCCTGATAAAAACTTCCGGCTGTACTAGCCAGGATGGCGTGGCCTGACGTGAGCGAGTTAAAATTTTCGTGGACGTCAAACAATAAGGGAAACGACTAGAGTTACGCTTCTGGTATAACTTCCTATTCTGTGACTAGGCATTCTATTTTTTCGCTTGCGTCAGGCTTGTGTCCTTCCTCCGCCCCGCCCCCAAATCACCTAGTCCCAGTCTTTTCATGTGAAAAAGCGCTGAATATTAAAAAAATATAAATAAAAATAGAAGGCCTAGGTCTAGGCTAGCCTCCTCCGCAGGCAACTCTGTATGTCCCAGTACGGGTTCCCTGTGTAGTGTATTGGCGGGCGGGCGGGTTACGAAAAATATGGTGGAGTTGCCTGCCATATATCGACAATTATATCTGGTGTTGCGCATCGTCGTTGCGCATCAACAATTTCAATTTTATGGAGTTATGGGGGAGTGGGAAGGTACAGAATGACAAAAATTCAAAATGGCTGTCTGCAATTTAACTTTCGATGAGATACAAGGGCTCCCCTCACTTGAAGATGAATTCGAATACTTTAGAGTTCTAAGTGGTGAAAAAGAAATTGAAGTAAAAGCAGGTTCAAGCTTTGAAGCAGCAGTTAAAATGGCATTTACCTTACATGTAAGAGAAGGTGGACAGCTCGATATCGATGGTCGTGGTGTAGTTATTACTGTTATCCCGCCAAATGGAGACGAATTTAAATATAGAGCTATTAATGCAGACCCTGTTGCTGTTGAGCTCCTGGAAAAAAATGTCAAAGTCTCCGAGAATGAAGTTAATACGGTGTCTACGACCGACGATCCTGTTGTTTATACTTTTACGAACGCGTCTGAGAGACTTGACTTTTCAAACGGTTCATTAATCGATACAACGCTTCGAAACTATTTTGGGTTTCCTTCGTTTAGACCTCTTCAAAAGGAAACGATTATTTCCACTATGGCTGAAAAGAATGTTCTTACAGTTGTTGGAACAGGAGGAGGAAAAACTCTCACATACTTACTGCCTGCCGTTCTTTCTTCCCATCCTACTCTTGTATTATCTCCTATCAAGTCTTTAATTGATGACACCCTAGTTCGCTGCCTAAATCTTAACATTCGCAGTTGCAAGTTTACTGGAGATGTTCCCCATGATGTGAGAAAAGAACAGATACATAACATAGAAGATTTCAAGATTATTTTTGCTACTCCTGAATGCTTAGAAGACGGCGAACCACTTCGAGTTAAAGTTGATGGACTTGCTGGTGTTGGTCAACTTGAGCGAATAGTGTTTGACGAAGCACACACTATATCGAGTTGGGGAAATACCTTTAGACCGAATTATAAAGATGTATGTAAGAATTTGTGTAAGGCAAAGTGTCCAAAACTACTTTTGTCTGCTACAGTTCCTTTGAAAGTCGAGAATGATTTGAGAGAAATTTGTGGGGACTTTACTGTCCTTCGTAGAACTGTTTATAGAGAAAATTTATATTTGGAAGTAGTTGAGCGAACTGGAAAATTCCTTGACCAACTGTCTGATTTCATTTCGCAAAACAAAGATGCTTGTGGTATTGTTTACTGCGTACTCCCTAAAGATGTTTGCAAGATACATGGTGAACTTTTAAAACGAGGAATTAATGCTGTGAAGTATCATGGTAAATTGTCTGATGCTGTTAAATTATCCAGTCAGTCCAAGTGGATGAGTGGTGAAGTAATTGTTATTGTGGCAAACTCGTCATTTGGGATGGGTATTGACAAGGCTAATGTGAGGTATGTTTTACATGCAAAATTGCCCACTAACATTGAAGAATACTTTCAACAATGTGGCAGAGCAGGTCGTGATGGCTTGCCATCACACTGTAAGCTTTTTTATAATTACAGTGATAAAAACATTCTGTATCGACTGTTTGATGAACAAGTCATAGCACAATACAAAGGTGTAAATGACTTGATTGTACTTCTTGAAAACCCAGTGCAGTGCCTTCATCAAGGCATAATGAGCTATTTTGGAGAAAAGCATGATAGCTTTATATGTGTCTTACTGGATGCAGCAATTGTAAACACCGTGGAACTCATCAGATCACTGATGGTACATCAGATGCTTTAAAAGTTTTGCAAGCAGTTGTTGAATTAAGCAACATTAACTTAACATGCAATGATTTGAAGCTGTATTTAGCTGGTAGCAACCAGAAATGTGTGTCACATTTGCAAGAATATGCCACATTTGGAAGCTTAGGGAAGAAGTTTGTACCTGTTTCTTTGCTAGCAAAGTTCTTACATCTGTTAATTGTTGGTGATATCCTAACTGAAAGAATACACAAGAAAGGTACTGGCAGCAGTATTTCTGTTGAAATAACTCTTGGAAGCAAGGCTCATGACTTGCTTGCTAACAACTTTATGATAGATAAGTATGAAAAGACATGATTTGCTTCTTTGAAACAGATTATTGACAGAAAATATTTTGATTAATTAATGTATGCATGGACTGTAAAATATATTTTATATTCAAGCTAGCCTCCTCTGCAGGCAACCCTATAA